TATTTTGAAAATCGATAGCATTTAAATCTTTAACAGTTATCCAACGAAAAATAGCTCTAAATTGTTTTTTGAATATCTATTAAGAATATAAATAATATATATCTAATAATTTACCGAGCTTTTTCTAAATCAGTTAATAAACCATATGTTAATTCATCGATTAATTCTGTATACGATGTTTGTTCACTTTCGGCAACTGTTATAGCTTGTTGATCGACATGTTCAAATATAGATGGATCTTCATATAAATCACGTTTATGACGACGAGGCGGTTGAGGTGGTGGTGGTTGACTTAATTGAAGCATTGAATAAGTTGCTGCGACTTGATCATCAACACCATTTTCAACCTTAAATTTCAATCATGGAATATATTATTTTAATATATATCGAATCTTATGACGTTTATCGAATTCACTCTAAGGCTCAAGTTCGAAAATTATCAAACCAGTTTACACTCTGCTAAATATTTCTAAAGTTATTAAGACGTAGATGCGTAACCAGTCAGAGGGCTCAGCCACTCTCCTACAAAACGGTATACCTTTGCTTGAAAATCACTCAAGCACCTCTTACACCTTTTTTCTGGTGACGCCTCTTTTTAAAAGTGTCCTCGAATTATGGATCAAGAATTCTAAGATATTGATATTTCGATATATGCCTCATTGTTTAATTAAGAGTTTGTAGATTTCCATTTATCAAATCTTGAAAGACTGATCTTAAGCTTGAACATTTGATTTTAGCTAATCGGATTTAGTCAGTATTACAAAGGAAGGCTGAGACAAAAGAAGAATATTAATCAGTTGTAAACCTTGTATAAATAAAAATCGAGTTCCTATACGTATTCATTTAATCTTAACTTCACAATTGATTTTATTATTTTTGTATTACTTACAAGTACTTCACGTTCTTTAACTTGTATTAAATTAAGCATTTCTTTACTAAATTTTGAAACAAGTGAATGTGTTGTTTCTTGTTCTCTTTCCATAATTTGTTTTCGAACAATTTCACGTTTTTTATTTTTTTTTAATGTCATATTTTGTTCTAATTCAGCTTTTTCTTTTGTAAAACGAAGTGTTAATTCCTATGACACGAAAAAAGACATAGTAATTAGAAAAAAGAAAATCTTTTGTTTTGACTAACTCGTTCAGTATTTTTATCTTTTTTTCTTCGTAAATCATCTTCATATTTAGTTGTAAGCACTTCTAATTTCTTTTCCCATTCATCAATAACTTCACGTTCAATTTTTTTCTCTTCTAATTCACGATCAACACGAAATTTCATAAATAATTCATCTTCTTCTTGTCGTTGTTTTTCTTCTAAAGATTTTTGTGCACGACGTACTTCTTCTCGAGCATGTAAAATATCCTTAATAAACTAATAATTATAAGAGAAAAGTTCTTGTTTTATATATACCGGTGGTAATGCAGGAAAATTATGAATTGATGAAACTTTTTCTCGACCATTTTGAAACATTTGTTGAGCTTTCATAGCATGTGCTATTGAAACTGATTGAGAATCAAGATGTGTACCCTAAGAAATAAATAAATAAATTTTTTATTAAAATTAATTTAAAATAAATTTTTACTTTAAGACGATCATCTAATTTTTGCATAACATTTAATTTTGGTGCATTCATAACATTATGTATATGCATATTTTCAGTTGAAAAAATACCTTTACCAGATCGTGGTACATGACTTTGACAATAAATTTCTTTATCATTTAAATCAATTGAATTTGTAAAATATGTTTTAAAATCTAATTGACGATCACATTTTAAACATTTAAAACATAATTTATGATAAAGTGAATCTTTAACTGGACCGATACGTTCCGTTACATAGACAAGTTGTTGACAACGACGACAACGATCACGAATTGATGTTAAATTTGTAGATGTTAATGATGATGTTGTTGATTCTCCTGCTAAATTAAATAATTTTGGTGGTGTATTAGATAAATCTCCATTTGTAGTTGAAGGCATAGTCTAAAATAAAGAATAATGTCATAAAGTCAAAGTCGTCAAAATAATTGTAAATGAAGCGCACGTATGCATACGAGACAATTTATTATTCTTTTTGTACTACGTTCTTACTCGCCAAATACAAAGCGCTATACTTCTATTTGCATTGTCCTTTTGTAGCAGATTAGTCTCTCTTTTCGCTCTCCTTTTTCCTTCTTTACTCGTTCAAATTCGACCGGTGTGTCTTTTGTTTCTCCTCCCTTCTATCTGCTTGTGGGTCGACAGTCTAACAGAACATAACAACAATAAAGCAAAAAAAAAAGGACACCGCAGTTTCGTCTATCTATTGAACAAGTAGCTGTGCATGTTCCTCTCATTTTTGTTCTTTATTCAAAACAATGTTAATCAGCTTATTGTTGACACTAGAAAGAGGAAAAAGGAGAGGGATGTCGTACAACAGTAGAAACTATTCTTACGATCCTATTAGTTGATCATAGTGCGAAGGTGAATTTCGTTGAGTTTCTATTTGCATTCATCAAAAAGAAAGTAAAAATGAATGATGTAATAAAACTATGACCTCGCTCTTTTTTTTTTCTTCTATAGAATAACGAAATAATGTATGAATTAAATCTTATTTATCTTTTCATTAGAATGACCAAATTCAACTACATATATACCGTGAAATTTCAATTAAATAAAGAAGAGAGCATAAAATTAATTTCTTTATCCTGTGATGTCATACGAAAATTTTGTTTAAGAAAAAATAGAAAGTAGATAAAATTATATATATTATATTTTAAAAGAGAATTTCATATCTACAATATTGCAAATCTATACGCATTTGTATGTTCAATGTCTAGTCTTTATTATCATTAATAATAGTTACTTACAGCTCTTCTTATTGTGTTTGTACTAATTGTGCTTTGATCTTACAAAAGATTTACATATATATGCAAAAAGGTGTTATAATACTATATTTTAAAATAATAGTATACTATAATGTGATATCTGTAAACCTTGACAAAGAAAGTATTTATTTCTATCGGTTATAGATGAAAAAGACAATTTTTTTTATGTACATGATAGTTCCATTCGGTTAAGTGTGTGTGTACTTTCTTCATACAATTTGTGATATGTATGTTTATTTAACATTATGAGTTATATTTTCAGTTTAATAGAAAAAAGATAATTTTAAAGTATAGTAATTCCATCAATACTTATTCTCATATTTAAAAAAAATAAAAAAAATGCAGATAAACAAACCAGATTGGAATTAATTGATGGATTATGTTACAGAAAAATTTCAAGAATTTAATTGATTTTTGTACGTGCATGCTTGCATACGTACGTATTGTTATACATATACATGTTCATTCATCAATCATATACCAATGAAAAATAGAAAAAAAATTTTTCGTTCATAAAATGTCTGTTATCTACTGACCTCTGCCTTTTCTTTGAACATTTCGTGCGTATATTTTTATATGACTGCTGTCATATTTTTATTCATGATTAATAAATTGGTCTACTGAATTATGAATCTGATTTCATATGATAAATGATGTTAGTGTTGACATGTTTAATTGCAAAAAAAACAATTATTCACTTTTCTATTTTTTGAATTAAATACGATGCATGTTATTTAACTACGAATTCAAATGTAATTAGAAGGATTTATTTTAAGTAAAAATGTTCTCAGTTACCATGGGATAGTTTTCATTTGTCTAGCCTTTTAAGTCACATAAGATGATATTTGATCAAGCAGAGAAATTACTAACACTTATGAGTATTTTATTGAATAAGTAAATATAAACAAAAAAGATATGATTTCTTTATTTATAAAAGACTTTCTATTTATTTTTCTTTTGGTGATGGTTTATGATTAGAATTTATTCGAAATATTTATTGTTTCCATCGTACAATGAATAATGAAAGGCACTAATATTTTCTGATAGTCTTGGTGAAGTAGTTGTCACTCTATAAAAAATTATTTTTATAGTTAGTCTTGACTCTTTATTTATAAAATATAGAGCTAAAAGAATATCACTCACATATAGTACCTTAAAATGATAGTATTTAAGAAACTTGTTTTCTTCATCATACTTTACTTTTGAGACAAGCAACGATTTCAATATAACAACTTTATATACATTCATATAATGTAATCAATAGTATTGAGTGTATTTTAGAGAAAATCGATGTATAATTATCATAGAAGCTGTAATTTGAAACAGTTTCTTTTAAACAGTTATTTGTTTCTGTATAATTAGACCGGAATTTTAGTGATATAATTGCTATCAAATCCTTGAAATCGGTTTTATTCAAAAGTTGTTAAACGACTCTCTATTAGTCATATTCTAGTAGTTTTATGAATACATTGGAATTTTACCATTAGCAAGATTTTATCACATTTTTCGCTCGTACTAATGAGAACTCATTAAATATTCGTCAGCAGGATGTGATGGGTGAGTGTGAGACAGATGGATCTTTTCTTTACTCATACCCAAACTGACATTCAGATCTAATCATATCAATGTCTTATTGTTCACCTTTATAAGGTATTCCTATGGTCGACTCAACACTAACTCGGGTGAATTAATGTGCGGATGAATTGTAAAAGTAATACACCAGTATATTGAATGATATTATCCTTCAATTAAATAGTAATTAGAACGAATTTGAAGACATTTTATTATCAGTTTAAATAGGTATTATTTAATTCAAGTTACATTCTATTTCTATTCTGAACATATCAACTATACCTAACCGAATGATTCAAAATCCAATACAACATTTGTGTCAGAAATAAAAGGATAATTTAAAATGTACGTTTTCTTAAAACTTTATCTTATTCAATGTGATGAAATAAATAGCGATTCATGATTATAAAGATAATTTATTAGTTAAGAAATAAAAATGAGATATTAGTATCAAGTTAGTATGAAGTAGGATAATATGAGATTAGTAAGTAAAGATAAAAATAAAAAGTAGTTAGTTGACAAAAGAAAAAGTGTTTGTACTGTTCAGTTAAAATTTGTTTTCAGATGATAGGCATATTTGTTGTTGTCTTCTTTCGAAATACAATTCGCCAATATTCTGCTCGTCCTTCTTGCATATTATCATAAAGTTGAGTGCCAGGTAATCCAGCCAATAAATGAAAAGATTCTTGATCTGCAGGTTGAATATAACGGTCAATAAAGTCAGCACATGAATTATTTTGAATGTCAAGTGCATGAAGAACATTTCTTGTAATATTGACCTTCTCTTTAATTATAAATGTATTATTTGCTGATAAATAATCAATCAATAAACTTGAACCATCTACATTACACAAGCCACACCAGAGAAAGTATCCATTAGGAGTAAGCACGCGAGTAATTTCATCGACGAATTTCTTCACTGCTACTATTTCATCAAAAAGATTTGTTGTTTCAATCGAAAGAACAACATCCATTGACTCATTTTGAAATGGTAAGTGTGTTTTTGGATCAGCTATCATAAACGAGAGTCCAGTAATTGTCGAATAAAGTTCTTCACATAGGTTAATAACATCTCGAGAAAGATCTATTCCAACATAAGAGCGAGGAGTATATGTACGAACACACCAGGCAGCGCCAGCACCTCTTCCACAACCCACTTCGAATATATTTTTATCCGTAAGTGTTATATTAGCAAGAACCTAGAATGAAAAACAAAATATTCTAATGATGACTGCTACTACATTTGTCGCTCATCACTTCATTCATTCTTCACTTTTTTTCAGAAATACAGAGGCAGATTAAGACGCAACTAGTTCATTTTGAGCTATCCGTGTTAACGAGTTATAAATGAAAACTTCGAGGACATCACAAGGATTCTTCGGTTTTGATCAATTCATTATCTATCACTTGATGAATACTTATGATAAAGTAACTAAAACTATGGTATGGGTATGATTCGTATGAATCAATTTAGACATCAAATTTTAATCTATGATACTATATCAGAAATATTTTAACTCGAATGTATTTGATTTTTTCATTCGTCTTCACTTACCTGTTGATAAAGTTTCTTCGAATAATAACCAGTATTATCATCGATATGTTCGTCCAAATCTGCATAGCCCCAATTCATAAATTGTAGTTCATTGACATTCGTATAGATGCTTGAAATTTTTTCATACCATAAAGACAGTCGGTCAACGTTGTTGGATTTCTGTTGACATTTGACGATATCATCACAAACGGGTACAGATCGAGATAATATTGATTTTGGCACATAAGATTCTAAAAGAAAGAAATCCAATGCAGTAAAATGATGAATATATATCATATGGGATGATCATCAAAAGAACATTTTAACTTTGAATAATATTACTTTCAAAGAATCTCTAGAAAATGTGTGATATCATTTTTTAATTCTAGAAAAATACGGTAGATATACGATCATATCAGATCGATTGATATGTAGATTTAAAACTTTTGGATTCTATTCGAATACTGTTTAATTTAATCAAAGTTTACAGTAATAGAAATCTGATTTGCATCATATCTAAAATGTACTACGTATAGGATATTCGAATTGAAAGTTAGTATAATGAGAACATCAGAGAAATTCAGTAAATTTTCTAAGGGAGAAAATATGCGTTATCAATTGGTTTCATGTTACAAAGAAATCTGACAAAATTTTATTCATCGATATAGAATGCCAACTTATAACTGGTCAAACCTATAGTATAAAATTTGAATAAGTATTTTAGAGTCAAATCTAATAGCAAGCTATATTCGAATTTGATATGTATTAGCGACATAGAGCAAAAGACGTTAAAAGTATAACGAATACGTTGAATATATCATGCATAATGATTAATTTGAAAGTTAATGAGAAGAAAGTCCATTTTATATAATATACTATATGGATCAAATAAAATTCTTAGTCACTTGTCATCAATAATAGAAAATAACTTTTTCATTCTGAGATACAGGACAAATCATATGAGAGTCAAATGAGTTTATATCATTACAAGGTGTCTAGGAACCATCATGAAGGAGAAGTTCATAAGAATCATGCTTTCAATAATGCAGATAAAGATGTATCCAAAATTATTATGAAAAAATTGAAATTTGCAGAATATTACCTAACATCCTAATAGTATTATACAAGTGTGTGTAGCTTCATCTATCTAAATGACTTACGTGCAGGAAGTCCTTTCCATTGTGTGTTCGGTTGTAATAAATCATTTTTCATTACGAGTGTAAACGGATAAAGCCGATTGTTACCCATTAATTTACAACCTGGCATCACAATTGACCCACTCATAAGAACGCACGAGTTGCCTACTGTAACAGGAACTAGTTTCAGAATACGCTGTTCGAAAGTGTGACACTGAAATAATTGCAGAGAACAAAAATGTTTAAATGAAAATTGACAAGAAATATATGTCTTACCACAATAATAGCATTGATATTAAGTCGAACATTATCTCCAATGGTCACCAAATCGTAATCAAATATAGAAGAAAAATCAGGTAAGATCACATTGTTGCCGATGTTTGCACCATATGCTCGAAATAACCGAATGAGCCATTGTGTATTACCAAGAAATGAACAAACAAAAATTCGATGGTCTTCTTCTAGTTTTCCTGTTATCTGTTTGATGATTTTATTGTCTGCATATAAATACCATCGATATAAACTACAAACAATGATTGTATGAAGAATTAGTCCACCAATAAGACCACATGACCAATAAATACCTATGAGAAGACATTTACTAATATAATGAGAAAAACATGTCATCCAAAATGGAATAGTTTTGATTTGATTATCCATTGCTTCTCTAATAGGCATTTGAAATGGCATAGCACGAGCTGGAACACCAATGAAAATATCTCCATTGTTGCTATTCGTCTCTCGAGTGATGCGCGTTAAATTGCCAACCATAGTATGAGATGCAAGGTGACTACCCGGCAAAATTGAACAAAAATTACCAAGGTTTGTATGAGATCCAAGTGTTATACAATCTACACGATGGTCACCCTCAAGTGTCATCTCAGTAGGAACTAATAAAACGTAACCAAAACTAGTCACTCCTGCTTCGAGTTTTAATAAATTTGTTGGATAGGACAAGAAGATGTCTATATTGGCGAGTTGGACATCATCTTCAACTTGAGCACCTAGCCAACGGAGAATAAAAGGATAAAGATAATCATATCCAGATGGTAGTAACCAGGCATGATGAAAGCTAGATACAATTAATTGACGAAGCCACACTTTATGTAAATATGACCATGATGCAATTGGATATGTCTCACCCGCAGTACAAGAACCGACTACAAATTTTAGGAGAAAGAGAGTGACAAAGCAAGCAACAATTGACCACGAAGTCCAGCAAAAAGCAATACTAATAGGTAATGGTATTTGTTCAACTGAATAAACTTTGTAGACCATGGCTAAGAGTGTACAATGAATACAGATCAATGAGATGACTGTAACAACTTGATAGATCTTGTGCCATATTGAGAATGATCTGTTACTCTGTGTGATTGAAATGCCTGATGAAACCGATTTATGTTCGTCACCATCGATAATCGTTCGAGATTCGATGAAACCAGTGAATGATGACATAGGCTGAACAATAATATTATCTTGCATATCAACTTCACCAAACAGAATTGATCGAGCACTGATTGAACAATAGCAACCAATTTTAATTGAATGTAGTGTAAAATTATTGTTATCGTTGTAATATAAACAATTTAGAGTCGTTTTATCAGCAATCCAAGTTCCATCACCAATATCTAACAACCATGGAGCATCGATAGTTGTGGTATAAATATGTGTGTTGAGACTAATTCGAGCACCACAAAGACGAAGATAGTAACTGTACAAAGATGTACCAAGCATATGTTGCAACCAGAATGTATTATTATCCCATAGTCGATCTAAAAACCACCAACGATAATAGCTCCAAGAGAAAATATTGCCACCTTTAATGTTTCGTGGTGAAAGTAGACGTGAACATATGACATAGGATAAAAGATGACATATTGGTAAGATAGGAAAAAGAAGTGGACACCATTGATGAATTATCATGATCGGACACAACCACTGGCAGACTAGGAGTGCAATACCTAAAGATTCTATGACAATGGAAGGTGTCAGACGAACATTTGTTTCATGAACTTCATTAACTGTGGAAGCTGTCTCTTGTAGTTCTTCAATAACTAATAAAGGTTCTATAGCTTGAGCTAATTGCCGAATAGATGGATTAGCAAATAAAAGACCAATGTCAAGTTTATTAGAGACCTGTTGGCGGATCAATGAAAGTGCAAGAATAGCACTCAGTGAAGTACCACCAAGTTGACCAAAAGGAATTTCAACATGAGGAGATTCAATATGAAAAGCTTGACTATATATATCTTGTAACTGTTGTTCTAAGGTGTTGCGCGGCACATTATCATCATGATTACCACTGGACGATGACAAATCAGGTAGTGGTAGAAGTTTTCGATCTACTTTTCCATTTTGATTCAAAGGTAATTTATCAAGTATAATGAATATGGATGGAATCATGTGTGGTGGAAGATGAGATTGACAATGTTGACGTAGTCGTCCTTCATTGACATGCGATGATTGAACATAAGCAACTAAATAATCATCATTCCATTTGATAACAGTACAAGCAGACACAAGTAAAGATATATTCATAAGACATCTCTCAATTTCAGCCAATTCAATACGTTGCCCTCGTAATTTCACTTGATGATCTTTTCTACCTTTGAAATAAAGAAAACCTTGATGATCATATCGAACAAGATCACCACTCTGATAAAATATATCATTATTAATCTCCACCAATATTTTTGCTGTCAAATCACCACGATCAAAATATCCAGCAAATACACATGCACCACCAACAAATAATTCACCTTCTTGATTAACAACAACAAATTGAAAATATTCATCCATAATTGCACATTGATAATTAGGAAGGAGTTTCCCGATTGACATCAGCTGTTTATCACAATCAAAATCAAATCCTATTTGAAAATATGTTGTAGTAATTGTTGCTTCAGCTGGCCCATACACATTCCATAGTTGACAGCCACCCGACGACGACGCTGATGATGGTACAGATACATATTTTTTTAAACGAGACATTATTTGATTTGTCAAAACATCACCTAGAAATGAAATAAATCCTTCTTGTTTTTCAATAAAAACATTCGATTCGAATAAAATTACCTCCACTACACAATGTTCGCAATTTCTTTAAACATTCAGTCGCATTTTGTATTTCAAGATGTTGACATAATGCATCAAGATAACTTGGTACAGCATCCATAAATGTAACATCCTTATCCATCAATTCATGAATAAGATAAGTTAAATCTTTATTACCATGAGGATGTAACATAACTAAACCAGCACCAATCATTAATGTTACAAAAGTATCTTGAAAATGAGTGTCAAAAGAACAACTTGCCATTTGTATTACATTGTCACTTTTTTTCAGTGTTGTCATTTTAGCAACACTTTGCATATAAGCAGTTAAATTACGATGCCGCACTTGAACCTAGATATATACAGATATAGCAATGTAAAATGAAAATAATTATATTAAACAAACCGCTTTTGGTATTCCTGTTGAGCCACTTGTAAAAACAATGTATGATATATCGTCTGGAGTTATTGAAATATTTGATAATTGATAAAGATCATCATTTGTAATTTTATCGTTAATGTTTATAGCTGTATCAATATCATATGCAATAAAATTATTTTTAAATATTCGATTTGTTAATGAATGAACAAGTATAAGACGAGCTTGTGTTTGTTCTACAAGATTTTGAAGGCGTTGTTCGGGATTTTCTGGTGATAATGGACAATATACACCACCAATTGTTTCAATCGATAATAAACCGATGATCTATTTATAGATCAGAGAAAGACAATAACAGATAATCACTTTGAAAAATATTCTTTTCAATGAAACTTACCATTGACAAACTTCTCTCAACACATTGACAAACTATTTCACCTGGAATGACATGATATTCGTTAAGAAGAGTTAGAGATAATACTTGAACATAGTATAGAAGTTCACAATATGACAATGATTGTTCATCCAATTCAACTGCTAATTTCTGTGGATGTTTCATTACTTGATATACAAACTCATGATGGATACACGCCAGAGGAGACGGAAATGATATTTGTGTATTATTCATTGATTGCATTAGATATTGTTCATTTGATAATGTTAATGATAGTTCATAGATAGGTTTATTTATTTGACTATCAATAATAGATGGAGATACTTGATATAAAATGGAATGAAATCGTTGTGAAATCTTCTCCACTGTCTCTCTATTGAATAAGTCAAATGATGCATTGATTGTGCATGACAGTTGATTCATGTTCATATCATGATAAAGAGAAAGAGAGAAGTCGCATACACTTTGTATCTCATCTTCATTAATATTCAATGAGAGAAATCTTGGAACTAGTTGAGAATCACCAATCATAATGGCATTGTTGTCGTTGTTGCTCTTGTATGATATAAACTCCAGAGATGTATCGAGAAATGCATGTTTGGAAATATGTGTATGTTGATCGAGAATATGTTGAAGTGGAAAATATGAATATTTCGTACTATTTGTTGTTATCTCTTGAACATGTTCGAGTACTTGATGAAAACACCAGTGAGGATCTAATTGACATCGTAATGGAATGACATTCTCAAACAGTCCAATGACTGATTTGAGTTCATCTCTATATCGATTATTATTGATGTTCATAGCAATACATAGATCTGTTTGTTCATTAGTTAATTTAAATAGAAAGATGAAATATATTGCAAATGTGAGATGTTCCAGTGATATGTTGTTTGATGATGCATGGATGAGAAAGTCATGTGAAAGATCTTGATCAAAATCAAATGAAATCGATGTTCCACGACCAGTTCGATGTTCATTTGAGAGACGATATCGATCATATGGTAATGACAGAGGTTGATCTAGTTTACAATCATGAAGAGCATCAAGCCAAAACATACTTGCGCCAGTCATTGACATTTGTTGTTCAATAACAGCATCTATTATATAATAAAAGAAATGTGTGTATCAGAGAAGAGAAAAGTAGAAGTAGTATTTATATTTACAATCGAGATAACGTAAAAGAATGTTGTCATCATATAGTAATTGACCTGTTGTATATGCTTGAGTAAGATCATGAAGAAATAGATTTATTGATGAAAAGTCAAATAAAGCATGATGGAAGTTGAAGATAAGTACATCTTTATGTGAAAGTAGGTGATTTGAAGAGATTTGTTTGTAATAAATAATATGGCATCGAAAGACAAGACCTTGAGCAAGATTAAATAGTTGAGGATTATATTTTTCTTCATATATGATATGATTGAGTTGTTCATGTGTTGTATAAGTGCTTTCAATAAATGAAAATAATGTATTGCTATTTTGGTTTCGATCGATGATTTGTTGCATTAGTCGATTGTTGTGTGTATTAAATATGAGTGATGTTCGAAGAGATTTATGTTTTGAAACGATTAATTGAAGAGCATGGCGAAGATGTGGTACTGATAAAGTATGATGTGAGTGCAGATGATAGACAAAGGACATGTTGTAGATTGTTACTTCGGATTTGTTCGAAATGAAATGAATATGTTCATTAAGATAAAGATGAGTTTGAGCAAATGATGCTGGTGCTAGTATAATGAGTGATTAGTAGATTCTAATTCAGGAGAATAATTATGATATGATATGTGATATCAATGCTTTAGACACTTTTTGTGCGATTGGTTTTCTAACTAACAAGGTAATTGATTAAAGATGTTAGGTTAGTATTTAGATCGCGTTACTTCAGACTCATTTTAACATTTTTTTGTTAATATTAAAAAGTACTTCAAGATTTTGGTATTAATGTCGAATTTATTTTCGTATAATAGGAATGTTGATGATTCTGAGAAGAGTACAGAACTCATGAATATTTACAAGGCTAGTAAGTAAACCGGAAGAAAATGTATATTTTATGAGATTTATCAGAATTTGTATTATGTTAATATAAATTCAATGCTAGTGTCAAAATATGAACTTATTTTTCTTACACAAAGACTTATTTTTTAAAATGCTACATATGTGGAAGATGTTGTTACTTGTATGATGTACTAATGTACCATTATCGAAAATTCAGTGTTAATCCTTTTGTTAGCGGTGGTGTAAAAGTATCACGGTACAAGCCTTGATTTCCTTCTTCTCTTTTCTTCTCTACAATCTTTCCTTGCATCCAAGTTAAATAAATATGTGTTTTGATACACGGTATATCTCTCTCTAGTGTACGTATCTCTGTTTGTGTGCATGTATTTTTCTGCATTTCTGCTTTTAAACAAAGAAATACTCAAAGCGAGCTAACACTGTCCTAGTCCTATGTTTTCAATTAGCAACATATTCTCTATAGGATCCACTGATTAAAACATCCGATTTGTGAGAAACAACAGAAAATAAAGGTGCAAACTTGAAAGAAGACCGTTGAACTGTTAGAGTGATGTTGTGACTTTGCATATTTATTTAAAATACACCAGAAATACGAAAGTTTGTTAGAAACAGGAGAAACCACAGTTATGTGTAAAAAGTTTCTGTTAGTCGATTTCACTATATAGGACCTTTGTTGAAAATCTCATATTATTTTTCTGTACTAGATTGTTTTTAAAGTTTTTATTGAATTGTGAAATCACTTGACTATGAAGAAATGAAGAATGCAGTTAATGTCTAATAGAAAGATGGAATCTGATGTTGTAATGTAAAAAAAGACGTTATTTTTCGCCATATTACCAATTAAAAAAATCCTCTTATTTCAAGAAAAAACTTATCCAACCGAACAGCAAAACCCATTATCTACAAAGATCTACCTCATTTAAAATATGTGTATACTGTTTCAAAAACAGGATACAGCGACTATACTATTCCAACATTCATTTGAAATTTCCATTTTACAAACAGCTTCGAAGTCGATATTATACGATATCTCTTATTATTATTACTATTAGTTTAACAAAAACAATCGCTCATGTAATGGATACAATATCTGTCATATTGTAAATTCACAACGATGAACTTTTAAAACCCAAGAACTGTTCTAACAAAATCTGGATGTTTATAATTAAATGCATGACTTCGTTAGTTTCTATGGTAATGTCAAAAAAGCATATAGATATCTTTATTTTTCATTGTAGAAGCAAAGAAAAACTAAATAATCATACCTTCATTCACAATACTCTTCAATCGATGAAACACAACTAGTTCCGTTTCTTCAGTTTCTTCAGGAAGAATAAGACACACTTTGTTAATCGATGAACTCACATTCATCACAGGAATGTTGCTTGATTGTGTTTGAAACAGTTGCTCAAACATATATTCAAATCTTTGAGCCATTTTTGAAATAGTTGATTTTTCAAACAAATCATGTGAACAAACAAAAGAAAAAGACAACTGATTATCATCTGGAGATGAATTGTATACAAATGTTAATGAGAAGTCAAATTTTACCACTTCAGCTGATTGTTCTAATGATACTTGTTCTAAATTTGCATCATTCAAACTTAAATATCCCATATCTTTTGACACAGTGATAAAATCAAACATTATCTCAAGAAATGATACATTTGATTGATTTAATCCATTATCACCAAGAATACGTTGAAGTGGATAATGAGAATGTTCAAGAATTGATAAACATTTTTCTTGTACATGTTTAACTACTTCATCAAATGACCAATGAGGATCAATTTCTAAACGATATGGTAATGTTGAAACAAACATTCCAATCATATTCACTAATTCACTTCGATATCGATTAGCATTGATAGAAGAAATGCACAAATCATTTTCACCATGAGTTAATTTGAATAGAAACACATAAAATATGGATAATCCAAGTTGAAAAAGTGTGAGATGATGCGATGATGCATAATTTAGAAATGACGTGCATAGTTCATTATCGAAAGTGATTTCAGCTGTAGATGCTGAACCAGATCGTTGTTGACTAGTTGATGAACGTTGTCGATCCATTGGTAATGATAGTGAACATTCCATATTGTATCTTTGAAGTTGTGAATGCCAGAATTCACGAGATAATGACATATCCATGATATGTTCATGAACAGAATAATCTATATATTCGAATGAGTTATCATCCATAGATAATGAGTCATGCGATTGATAAGCAAGAGAAAGATCACGAAGAAAGATTGATGTTGATGCTCCATCAAACATTGCATGATGAATACTAATCAATATGTGATCATTTTCACTTAATAGATCATCATTCTCATACGAGACATTATCTCGAAAATACTGGGAATGACGAAGAATATGACAACGTATAACACATCCTTTTGATAAATCAAATAAATCAGCTTGGTTTAATATTCCTTCAATAACTTCATTCATATGACGATGATCATCATTATGAAGATTGACAATTGTCAATCCATATGATTTCATATGATCATCGTTAAGAAGGGTATTTGTATCTAAGCAGTATTGCATAATTTTGCTATTTGTATCATCAAGATAAAGTGCTGTTCGAAGAATATTATGTTTCGTGATAATACTTTGGAATGCATGATGTAATCGAGTAATTAATATATGATCATTCATAGATGCTATGCGATAAAGTAATGGAATAACATACATATTCTTCATGGTGGTTTTGTTGGATGAAAAACGAATTTGTTCATCTAAATAGATCCGTTCTTGTGCAAATGATACTCTAGCTAGAATGAGAAAAAAAATATGCTAGTTTATGTTAATCTCAAGAGCAAGTTGTATTATTTACCTTGAATGAGATGTAATGAAGACCAATGATAGGCATTGATATTCTCTGTCGTATTTATAGTTTGATAAATGAGTTGAGCATGATGAATAATTGTTGGGTGTTGAAATAGATTCGAAATAGAAAGAGTATCTGTTTCTAAATGAAATTCGATCTTATATCGATGAAATAGTTGCATCATAAGTAATGAATGACCACCGATAGTAAAGATATTTGTATCAGTTGAGATTTGGTTTTGTTTGAATATCTCACACCAAATATGATGAATAGTGACTTGAATATCATTTGTTGGTGATAATAGTTCTATACTGTTTGTGAGATTTGTAGATGAGAAGTGAGGTGGCGGAAGAAGTTTTCGATCTACTTTTCCATTTGGATTCAAAGGTAATTTATCAAGTATAATGAATATTGATGGAATCATATGTGGTGGGAGATGAGATTGACAACTTTGCCGTAGTTGTTCTTCATTGTTATGAGAAGAAGATTGAACATATGCAACTAAGTAATCATCATTCCATTTCATGACAACACAAGCAGATATAGATGTACTGTTAAGTAAACATCGTTCTATTTCACCAAGTTCAATTCTTTGTCCATGTAATTTGATTTGATGATCTTTTCTTCCTTGATAATGAAGAATTCCGTTGTTATCCGTGCTAACAAGATCACCTGTTCTATAGTACATTGCCCCGTTGATAATGATCATTGCCTTTGCTGTCAAATCATCACGATTGAAATAACCAGCAAAGATACCCACACCTCTTACTAGCAATGCTCCTTCATCGCCAATACGGACAGACTGTGAGAACGCGTCCAAAATCAGACATTGATAATTGGGTAAAAGCTGACCTATAGAAATGCTTGTTTGACTTTTGCTCAGATCAATTAAATAACAAGCACAATTGATCGTGATTTCGGCTGGGCCATAATGGTTTCGAATTCGGCATTGCTCTCCAAGTAAACTATGAAATAGACTAACTTGCTTAACACTAACAGCCTCTCCTATAAACAATTGATTCAAAGAAACCGTTAATATTTTAGTTATTCAAAAAGCAAGTACTAACCACCGCTGCATAAAGATCGTAAATATTTCATTGCTGACGTACGCTTTCTTATTCGGAGAAATTCAAATAAACTGTTCAGAAGCGACGGAACAGCATGCATGACAGTGATCTGCTTTTGATGAAGCACACTGGCAAGATATTCTAAATCCATATTGCCTTCTGGTCGAAGCATTATTAATGTGGCTCCAACAACTAATGTACCCACTAAGCTTAGCAGATGATTGTCAAAAGAGCATCGAGCCATCTGTATTATTATGTCAGACTTTGTTAATACATCAATATTCACAAATGAATGCATAAACTCAGTGAAGTTTCGGTGGCGCAGTTGAACCTATTTTAAAAAAGAAAAGCGTTAGACAATACATCGAAAGAAACAGTAATTATATAAACCGCTTTTGGGATACCAGTTGAGCCACTTGTAAAAATTACAAAGACAACACTTTCTGGTGTTACAGCAATATTTGAAAGTTCATTGAGATTAATTGCACTAGATCTTTCTTCGAAACGAATAACGGAATCAATATTTAGAGTTAGATTGTCGGGGCTGAGAACAGCTGGTGTACTTCCATGAACCAAAACTAAACGACTCTGAGTCTGATTGACAAGAGCTTGTAGACGTTGTGGAGGATCTCGTAACGATAATGGACAATACGCACTACCAACCATAGCTATTGACAAAATACCAATGACCTACAAGAAAAATATTACACATAACATCGTTACAAGAAAAATCTTCTCGAGGGATTTACCATTGACAAACTTCGCTCAACACATTGACACACAATATCACTCGGCAACACATGATACTCATTAAGAAGAGTTAAAGATAACACTTGAACATAATATAAGAGTTCACAATAGGTCAATGATTGTTCATCCAGTTCAACTGCTAGCTTTTGTGGATGTTTCATTACTTGATACACAAATTCATGATGAATACAAGTACCAGAATGAAATAGTACTTGCGTATTATTCATTGATTGCATCAGTAATTTTTCATTTGGTAATGTTAATGATATTTCATAGATTGATTTATTCATTCGATCATCAACAGATGTAAATAATTGATTCAACATTGAATGAAATTGTTGAGATACCTTATTAATTGTTTCTACATTGAATAAATCAAGTGATGCACTGATTGTACATGAGAGTGCATCTACATCCATGTTATGCTGAAAACTAGCGATAAAATCAAAAATACTCATTCTTTCATTTCCAGTAATTTTCGGTAAAAATGGTAGTAAAGAAAGTTGATTATCATCTTTTATTGTAGTTGATATGAACTCAAATGATGTGTTAAGAAACGCAGGATTTGATATATTCGAATGTTGATCAAGGATTCGTTGAAGAGGAAAATATGAGTATTTCATACTTTTTGTTACAAGCTCTTGGACGTACACAAGCAGTTTATGAAAAGACCATTGAGGATCTAATTGACATCGTACTGGAATTATATTCTCAAATAATCCAATGATTGATTTAAATTCATCTCTATATCGGTTATCGACAGTCATTCCAATACATAAATCTTTTTCTCCATTTGTTAATTTAAAGAAGAAAATGAAATAAATAGCAAATGTGAGATGTTGAAATGATATGCCATTAAATGATGAATAACTAAGAAAGTATTGTAACAGATTCGGATCAAAATCAAAAGAAATAGATGTTGTATGACAAGTTCGATGTTCATTTGTGAGACGATATCGATCGAATGGTAATGGCAAAGGTTGATCCAGTTTACAATCATGAAGAGCATCAAGCCAAAACATACTTGCACCAGTCATTGACATTTGTTGTTCAATAACAGCATCTACATAATTAAAGAAAAGAACATATTAGAGAGGACAGAGTTGTAATAGCTATTTGTTTTTACAATCGAGATAACGTAGAGTAGTGTTGTCATCATATGATAATTGACCTGTTGTATATGCTTGATTAAGATCATGAAGAAATATATTCATTGATGAAAAATCAAACGAAGCATGATAAAAATTAAAAATGATTACATCTTTATCAGAAAGAAGATCATTAGCCGAGATTTCTTTGCAGTAGACAAAGTGGCAACGGAAGACAAGACCTTGGGAGATATCAAAATGTTGCGTGTTTTGTTGTTCATCATATACAATATTGTTGATTTGTTCATCGGTTTCAAACACACTTTTAAAAAATGGAAATAGTACATTATTATTGTCGTTCAAATCAATAATTTGCTGCCTAAGTAGATTCTTTTCTTTATGAAATATGAGTGATGTACGAAGTGTTTCATGTTTTGTGACGACTAGTTGAAGAGCGCGAGAAAGTTGTTTAACTGATAAAGTATATCCTGAATGAAGACGATACACAAAACACGTGTTATAGATTGCTACTTGAGATGGATTAGAATTGAAACGAGTGTGTTCGTCGAGCCAAACACGAGCTTGTGCAAATGATGCTGGTGCTATAACAAAAAATTCATTGAAATCGGACTAGGTTCACCAATTAATAGATGTACTTTAGAATTCATCTAGTCCATTATTCAGTTACTCTCTTTATTTAATTATGTGATTCAATTGATATTACTGTTTCAAATATTCACAACCTTTAGTAGTTAAAAACATGCAGACTTCACATCTGAATCTCTGATAAGTAGTAAGTTTTGATTCCGTTCATTTCTAATGTAACTTCTTTATACTCAACATTAACACAGATTTTCTTTCAAAGATGAATCGTGAAATTTTCTACAGAATCTGTAATGAGCGTTTTATTTATAAATTAGAAAAGTAAAAGGATACATGAGAAATTTCATTCTACGTTTTTTACTTTTCATGTTATAACGATGGTCTATGGTAAAAATATTAACTAGAAACGTATGATCGACTGCAGAAGAATCGTAAATATGACTGAAAGCTAGAGGTTTTCAAGCATCATATGTTGATAAATTTGATTTTTGTCTCCGAAAGTCAAAGAGTAAAAGAAAGATTTATTTCTGAAAATTGAGAGTTTTGCGAATTTTTATGCAGTATTTCACTTTTGTATTCTAGAATAAAATATTTACTACATATTTTAAAGAGAATTTCACGTAGTAACGTTGAATATTAAAAAAAGTGCTATTTAAAATACGATGGAATTAGAAACTAGTATACACTTTTCATAATATCCTAGTAGCTTTTTATAATTAATTGCGTGACCTATACTTTCTTCATATATACACCTTTTCAAATAAAAATTGTCTGAAAGATGTACCTTTATTTAAGATAGCTAATTTTCCAGAGTAGAAACAGAAAATTAATTTTAAGACTTATAATAATTTTAGGTAAAATCTACTTTTAATTCATTCTTGTATTATTGAATAAAGTGAAAGAAAGACATTCAATTAAATGTTAATGTTGTGTTACAGATGTTGATTTTTACTTTCTCACGTATGACGCTGAAGTTATCGAGACGTTGAATAATTTTCTATTCATCATATTCTTATATTCATCACCATCATATATTTTTAAAAAAATTTATTAAAAAATCATTAGTTTTATTTAAAATTGTAAGTTTATATTTGTCTAAAAAACGTCAAACTATAGAGAAAAGAAGCAATTTGTACTTGAACAGTATCTAATCTTAATCAAAAAAAGATTAGTTAGCGTCATTAAAATATGTTGTTGTTTTAGATGGCGTTTACAGAAACAGAGTTGATGATGCTATAATTAGATTATTATAAGATAACGGAGTTGTCATCGATATTGATATAACTCATTATCTTCTGAATTAAAACTGAATTTTATTATGTCAAATAAATATCTAAAAAAAAAACTATCTAAAACTTTACAAACCAAACTATGTTTTACTCATTCGTCATATTATTCTTCGCACTCCAGTCAGAAACAAACATGCCAAAAACTTATCACCTTTTTAATCACAACTCTTATGCTTATCATTATTACTAAACTTCATATATCTATACTATAATATCCGTTCTACAAAACATTTTGAACAGATTTGACATTGAAAATTAATAAAATCTTTTCGTATTATATATATTTATACATATCATACATGTCTCTTTTCTCTAACTGACTTATATCAATAACAGTATTATATATATGTGATAAATAGGAATAAGACATACCTTCGTTCGTCACAATTGGTTGACGGTAAAAAGCTACATGTTGCATTTCATTCACTTCATCTGGTAAGATAAGAGTAAGTTTGGCAATAGGTGAAACTACTAAATCAGTTTGATTAACATTGGAATTCGCTGAAAAAAGTTGTTCGAAAAGATATTGAAATCTTTCTATCATTTTTGTAATTGTTTTATTGTCAAATAGATCACGTGAACAAGTTAAACAGCACGACAATTTGTTATCATCCGAAATTGCATTGTAAACAAATGTCAACTTAATATCAAATTTAGCCACTTCCGAAAACTGTTTTAATGATATTGGCTGTAAACCAGCATCATCGAAAGTAAACTGATCGTTAACTGAAGATACAGTAATGAAATCAAAAACTGTCTGAAGGAAAGGAACAGTTGATTGATTAAGATGAATATCACGAAGAATACGCTGAAGTGGATAATGGGAATGTTCAAGAATTGATAAACATTTTTCTCGTACATGTTTAGTAACCTCATCAAATGACCATTGAGAGTCAAGTTGAATACGATATGGCAATGTTGAAACAAATATTCCCATTATTTTCTGCAGTTCAGTTTTGTGTCGATTAGCATTAAGACAAGAAACACATAAATCATTTTCACCATGTGTTAACTTGGAAAGAAAAGTGTATAATATAGTTAGACCCAACTGAAATGTTGTCACATGATGTGTAGAAGCATAATCAAGAAATGATTGTGAAATCTCGTTGTCAAAAGAGATTTGAGTAACAGAAGCAAAACCAGATCGTTGGTCATTAGATAAACAATGGTGATCGATTGGTAATGGCAACCGACGTTTCAAGTTAAATCCTTCGAGTTGTGAATACCAAAATTCACGGGATGTTGTCATATCGATTAGACGTTCATGTATACTATAATCAATATATTGTAATGATTCATCATCTTCTATCGATGTTGCATTGGTATTATAAGCTAAACATAGATCACTGAAAAAGATCGAAGAACTTGCTCGATCAAATGCTACATGATGAAAAGCAATCAGAAGAACATCAGAATTAGTTATGAATCCATTGTTATTATTTTCATTTTCATTTAATGATATTTGATATTTCAGAATTTCAGCATGAAAAACATCACCAGTTGATAAATCGAAGAGATTAGGGTTAATAGTTGTTTGATAAATAATATCTCGAAGTTCATTATCATTTTGAAATGTTTGATTCATAGTTATTTTGAATGTTTTGTGTATATCTGTGATGCATTGTTTCAAAATACCATTATCATTGTTAAACACAAGAGATGTATGTAATATTTTATGTTTATGCAGAATATATCGAAATGCTTGTAATAAACGATCTAATGATAATGATCCTTGAACAACTTGTAAAGTGGACACTTCATTATAGATAGCAATATCACTCGAAAAACGAACTTGTTCATCAAGAAATATACGCTCCTGAGCAAAAGAAGCAATACCTATCAATTAAACAACAGAAACTATTTTAATAATTTCCTAATAAACACTTTTACCTTCATTTATATGTAATGTGTACCATTGTGTTGCCTTGACATTATTCATTAAAACTGTTTGAAGCAATTGTGAATGTTGAAATATCGTTGGTTGTTGAAGAAATGGAGCAATGGAAAGTGAATGAGCATCAAAGTTAAATACTGATTGATAATGGTGATAAAGCTCAATAAATAACAGTGAATGACCACCAACACTAAAAAAACTGGTAGTTCCAGAAATATGCTTTTGATTAGAATGAAGAACTTGACACCAAATAGTGAGTATACGTTCTTCGAACTGATTAAGAGGAGTATCAGATTGATCGGAAGATAACAGAGTTGATAATGAAAATTGGGGTGAAGGAAGTTGTTTTCTGTCTACTTTTCCATTTGGATTCAAAGGTAATTTATCAAGTATAATGAATACTGATGGAACCATGTGTGGTGGAAGATGAGATTGACAATGTTGGCGTAGTTCTTCTTCGTTGATATTAGGACTTTGAACATATGCAACTAGATGATCATCTTTCCATTTCATGACAACACAAGCAGATATCGATGTACTGTTAAGTAAACATCGTTCTATTTCACCAAGTTCAATTCTTTGTCCATGTAATTTGATTTGATGATCTTTTCTTCCTTGATAATGAAGAATTCCGTTGTTATCCGTGCTAACAAGATCACCTGTTCTATAGTACATTGCCCCGTTGATAATGATCATTGCCTTTGCTGTCAAATCATCACGATTGAAATAACCAGCAAAGATACCCACACCTCTTACTAGCAATGCTCCTTCATCGCCAATACGGACAGACTGTGAGAACGCGTCCAAAATCAGACATTGATAATTGGGTAAAAGCTGACCTATAGAAATGCTTGTTTGACTTTTGCTCAGATCAATTAAATAACAAGCACAATTGATCGTGATTTCGGCTGGGCCATAATGGTTTCGAATTCGGCATTGCTCTCCAAGTAAACTATGAAATAGACTAACTTGCTTAACACTAACAGCCTCTCCTATAAACAATTGATTCAAAGAAACCGTTAATATTTTAGTTATTCAAAAAGCAAGTACTAACCACCGCTGCATAAAGATCGTAAATATTTCATTGCTGACGTACGCTTTCTTATTCGGAGAAATTCAAATAAACTGTTCAGAAGCGACGGAACAGCATGCATGACAGTGATCTGCTTTTGATGAAGCACACTGGCAAGATATTCTAAATCCATATTGCCTTCTGGTCGAAGCATTATTAATGTGGCTCCAACAACTAATGTACCCACTAAGCTTAGCAGATGATTGTCAAAAGAGCATCGAGCCATCTGTATTATTATGTCAGACTTTGTTAATACATCAATATTCACAAATGAATGCATAAACTCAGTGAAGTTTCGGTGGCGCAGTTGAACCTATTTTAAAAAAGAAAAGCGTTAGACAATACATCGAAAGAAACAGTAATTATATAAACCGCTTTTGGGATACCAGTTGAGCCACTTGTAAAAATTACAAAGACAACACTTTCTGGTGTTACAGCAATATTTGAAAGTTCATTGAGATTAATTGCACTAGATCTTTCTTCGAAACGAATAACGGAATCAATATTTAGAGTTAGATTGTCGGGGCTGAGAACAGCTGGTGTACTTCCATGAACCAAAACTAAACGACTCTGAGTCTGATTGACAAGAGCTTGTAGACGTTGTGGAGGATCTCGTAACGATAATGGACAATACGCACTACCAACCATAGCTATTGACAAAATACCAATGACCTACAAGAAAAATATTACACATAACATCGTTACAAGAAAAATCTTCTCGAGGGATTTACCATTGACAAACTTCGCTCAACACATTGACACACAATATCACTCGGCAACACATGATACTCATTAAGAAGAGTTAAAGATAACACTTGAACATAATATAAGAGTTCACAATAGGTCAATGATTGTTCATCCAGTTCAACTGCTAGCTTTTGTGGATGTTTCATTACTTGATACACAAATTCATGATGAATACAAGTACCAGAATGAAATAGTACTTGCGTATTATTCATTGATTGCATCAGTAATTTTTCATTTGGTAATGTTAATGATATTTCATAGATTGATTTATTCATTCGATCATCAACAGATGTAAATAATTGATTCAACATTGAATGAAATTGTTGAGATACCTTATTAATTGTTTCTACATTGAATAAATCAAGTGATGCACTGATTGTACATGAGAGTGCATCTACATCCATGTTATGCTGAAAACTAGCGATAAAATCAAAAATACTCATTCTTTCATTTCCAGTAATTTTCGGTAAAAATGGTAGTAAAGAAAGTTGATTATCATCTTTTATTGTAGTTGATATGAACTCAAATGATGTGTTAAGAAACGCAGGATTTGATATATTCGAATGTTGATCAAGGATTCGTTGAAGAGGAAAATATGAGTATTTCATACTTTTTGTTACAAGCTCTTGGACGTACACAAGCAGTTTATGAAAAGACCATTGAGGATCTAATTGACATCGTACTGGAATTATATTCTCAAATAATCCAATGATTGATTTAAATTCATCTCTATATCGGTTATCGACAGTCATTCCAATACATAAATCTTTTTCTCCATTTGTTAATTTAAAGAAGAAAATGAAATAAATAGCAAATGTGAGATGTTGAAATGATATGCCATTAAATGATGAATAACTAAGAAAGTATTGTAACAGATTCGGATCAAAATCAAAAGAAATAGATGTTGTATGACAAGTTCGATGTTCATTTGTGAGACGATATCGATCGAATGGTAATGGCAAAGGTTGATCCAGTTTACAATCATGAAGAGCATCAAGCCAAAACATACTTGCACCAGTCATTGACATTTGTTGTTCAATAACAGCATCTACATAATTAAAGAAAAGAACATATTAGAGAGGACAGAGTTGTAATAGCTATTTGTTTTTACAATCGAGATAACGTAGAGTAGTGTTGTCATCATATGATAATTGACCTGTTGTATATGCTTGATTAAGATCATGAAGAAATATATTCATTGATGAAAAATCAAACGAAGCATGATAAAAATTAAAAATGATTACATCTTTATCAGAAAGAAGATCATTAGCCGAGATTTCTTTGCAGTAGACAAAGTGGCAACGGAAGACAAGACCTTGGGAGATATCAAAATGTTGCGTGTTTTGTTGTTCATCATATACAATATTGTTGATTTGTTCATCGGTTTCAAACACACTTTTAAAAAATGGAAATAGTACATTATTATTGTCGTTCAAATCAATAATTTGCTGCCTAAGTAGATTCTTTTCTTTATGAAATATGAGTGATGTACGAAGTGTTTCATGTTTTGTGACGACTAGTTGAAGAGCGCGAGAAAGTTGTTTAACTGATAAAGTATATCCTGAATGAAGACGATACACAAAACACGTGTTATAGATTGCTACTTGAGATGGATTAGAATTGAAACGAGTGTGTTCGTCGAGCCAAACACGAGCTTGTGCAAATGATGCTGGTGCTATAACAAAAAATTCATTGAAATCGGACTAGGTTCACCAATTAATAGATGTACTTTAGAATTCATCTAGTCCATTATTCAGTTACTCTCTTTATTTAATTATGTGATTCAATTGATATTACTGTTTCAAATATTCACAACCTTTAGTAGTTAAAAACATGCAGACTTCACATCTGAATCTCTGATAAGTAGTAAGTTTTGATTCCGTTCATTTCTAATGTAACTTCTTTATACTCAACATTAACACAGATTTTCTTTCAAAGATGAATCGTGAAATTTTCTACAGAATCTGTAATGAGCGTTTTATTTATAAATTAGAAAAGTAAAAGGATACATGAGAAATTTCATTCTACGTTTTTTACTTTTCATGTTATAACGATGGTCTATGGTAAAAATATTAACTAGAAACGTATGATCGACTGCAGAAGAATCGTAAATATGACTGAAAGCTAGAGGTTTTCAAGCATCATATGTTGATAAATTTGATTTTTGTCTCCGAAAGTCAAAGAGTAAAAGAAAGATTTATTTCTGAAAATTGAGAGTTTTGCGAATTTTTATGCAGTATTTCACTTTTGTATTCTAGAATAAAATATTTACTACATATTTTAAAGAGAATTTCACGTAGTAACGTTGAATATTAAAAAAAGTGCTATTTAAAATACGATGGAATTAGAAACTAGTATACACTTTTCATAATATCCTAGTAGCTTTTTATAATTAATTGCGTGACCTATACTTTCTTCATATATACACCTTTTCAAATAAAAATTGTCTGAAAGATGTACCTTTATTTAAGATAGCTAATTTTCCAGAGTAGAAACAGAAAATTAATTTTAAGACTTATAATAATTTTAGGTAAAATCTACTTTTAATTCATTCTTGTATTATTGAATAAAGTGAAAGAAAGACATTCAATTAAATGTTAATGTTGTGTTACAGATGTTGATTTTTACTTTCTCACGTATGACGCTGAAGTTATCGAGACGTTGAATAATTTTCTATTCATCATATTCTTATATTCATCACCATCATATATTTTTAAAAAAATTTATTAAAAAATCATTAGTTTTATTTAAAATTGTAAGTTTATATTTGTCTAAAAAACGTCAAACTATAGAGAAAAGAAGCAATTTGTACTTGAACAGTATCTAATCTTAATCAAAAAAAGATTAGTTAGCGTCATTAAAATATGTTGTTGTTTTAGATGGCGTTTACAGAAACAGAGTTGATGATGCTATAATTAGATTATTATAAGATAACGGAGTTGTCATCGATATTGATATAACTCATTATCTTCTGAATTAAAACTGAATTTTATTATGTCAAATAAATATCTAAAAAAAAAACTATCTAAAACTTTACAAACCAAACTATGTTTTACTCATTCGTCATATTATTCTTCGCACTCCAGTCAGAAACAAACATGCCAAAAACTTATCACCTTTTTAATCACAACTCTTATGCTTATCATTATTACTAAACTTCATATATCTATACTATAATATCCGTTCTACAAAACATTTTGAACAGATTTGACATTGAAAATTAATAAAATCTTTTCGTATTATATATATTTATACATATCATACATGTCTCTTTTCTCTAACTGACTTATATCAATAACAGTATTATATATATGTGATAAATAGGAATAAGACATACCTTCGTTCGTCACAATTGGTTGACGGTAAAAAGCTACATGTTGCATTTCATTCACTTCATCTGGTAAGATAAGAGTAAGTTTGGCAATAGGTGAAACTACTAAATCAGTTTGATTAACATTGGAATTCGCTGAAAAAAGTTGTTCGAAAAGATATTGAAATCTTTCTATCATTTTTGTAATTGTTTTATTGTCAAATAGATCACGTGAACAAGTTAAACAGCACGACAATTTGTTATCATCCGAAATTGCATTGTAAACAAATGTCAACTTAATATCAAATTTAGCCACTTCCGAAAACTGTTTTAATGATATTGGCTGTAAACCAGCATCATCGAAAGTAAACTGATCGTTAACTGAAGATACAGTAATGAAATCAAAAACTGTCTGAAGGAAAGGAACAGTTGATTGATTAAGATGAATATCACGAAGAATACGCTGAAGTGGATAATGGGAATGTTCAAGAATTGATAAACATTTTTCTCGTACATGTTTAGTAACCTCATCAAATGACCATTGAGAGTCAAGTTGAATACGATATGGCAATGTTGAAACAAATATTCCCATTATTTTCTGCAGTTCAGTTTTGTGTCGATTAGCATTAAGACAAGAAACACATAAATCATTTTCACCATGTGTTAACTTGGAAAGAAAAGTGTATAATATAGTTAGACCCAACTGAAATGTTGTCACATGATGTGTAGAAGCATAATCAAGAAATGATTGTGAAATCTCGTTGTCAAAAGAGATTTGAGTAACAGAAGCAAAACCAGATCGTTGGTCATTAGATAAACAATGGTGATCGATTGGTAATGGCAACCGACGTTTCAAGTTAAATCCTTCGAGTTGTGAATACCAAAATTCACGGGATGTTGTCATATCGATTAGACGTTCATGTATACTATAATCAATATATTGTAATGATTCATCATCTTCTATCGATGTTGCATTGGTATTATAAGCTAAACATAGATCACTGAAAAAGATCGAAGAACTTGCTCGATCAAATGCTACATGATGAAAAGCAATCAGAAGAACATCAGAATTAGTTATGAATCCATTGTTATTATTTTCATTTTCATTTAATGATATTTGATATTTCAGAATTTCAGCATGAAAAACATCACCAGTTGATAAATCGAAGAGATTAGGGTTAATAGTTGTTTGATAAATAATATCTCGAAGTTCATTATCATTTTGAAATGTTTGATTCATAGTTATTTTGAATGTTTTGTGTATATCTGTGATGCATTGTTTCAAAATACCATTATCATTGTTAAACACAAGAGATGTATGTAATATTTTATGTTTATGCAGAATATATCGAAATGCTTGTAATAAACGATCTAATGATAATGATCCTTGAACAACTTGTAAAGTGGACACTTCATTATAGATAGCAATATCACTCGAAAAACGAACTTGTTCATCAAGAAATATACGCTCCTGAGCAAAAGAAGCAATACCTATCAATTAAACAACAGAAACTATTTTAATAATTTCCTAATAAACACTTTTACCTTCATTTATATGTAATGTGTACCATTGTGTTGCCTTGACATTATTCATTAAAACTGTTTGAAGCAATTGTGAATGTTGAAATATCGTTGGTTGTTGAAGAAATGGAGCAATGGAAAGTGAATGAGCATCAAAGTTAAATACTGATTGATAATGGTGATAAAGCTCAATAAATAACAGTGAATGACCACCAACACTAAAAAAACTGGTAGTTCCAGAAATATGCTTTTGATTAGAATGAAGAACTTGACACCAAATAGTGAGTATACGTTCTTCGAACTGATTAAGAGGAGTATCAGATTGATCGGAAGATAACAGAGTTGATAATGAAAATTGGGGTGAAGGAAGTTGTTTTCTGTCTACTTTTCCATTTGGATTCAAAGGTAATTTATCAAGTATAATGAATACTGATGGAACCATGTGTGGTGGAAGATGAGATTGACAATGTTGGCGTAGTTCTTCTTCGTTGATATTAGGACTTTGAACATATGCAACTAGATGATCATCTTTCCATTTCATGACAACACAAGCAGATATCGATGTACTGTTAAGTAAACATCGTTCTATTTCACCAAGTTCAATTCTTTGTCCATGTAATTTGATTTGATGATCTTTTCTTCCTTGATAATGAAGAATTCCGTTGTTATCCGTGCTAACAAGATCACCTGTTCGATAAAATAGTTGACCATCTATTTCAAGAAGAGCTTTTGCAGTTAAATCATCACGTCCGAGATATCCAGCAAACACACCCACCCCACCGAGAAACAATTCACCTTCTTCACCTCTAACAGATGATTGTAAATATTCACTCATAATCATACATCGATAGTTGAGTAGTGGACGTCCCATTGGAATGCTAGTCATATTTATATTCCTACCTATAACATAAATTGTGGAGTCGACAGTTATTTCTGAAGGTCCGTAGCCGTTCCATACAAAACTATCTTGCGGTAGATATGTATATAGCTTGTCAATAAGTTGAACTGTGCTCGCTTCTCCTAGAAAGTTTCAAGAATAAGTGCTTAATAAATAAAATGTGAGACGTACCACCAATAGCAACAATACACAAACTGGTGAAACTTGAAATGTTGTGACTTTCTAAAAATTCCAACAATATATTAGCATATGACGGCACCAACGAGAGGTATGATACTTGTTTCCCATTTAACGTCTTTGTCATATAGTCTAAATCCATATTACCTTGAGGATGAAGCATTATAATTGTTGAACTAGTGATTAAAGCTCCAATAATCTCCTCAACATGCACATCAAATGAGCAGCTTGCCATTTGTATCAGGGTACCTTTATTTGGGAATAAATTCAATCGAACAAGAGAATCAATGCAAGCCAAGAAGTTTCGATGACGAATTTGGACCTAAAAAGCAAAACTCAAATAAAAGTATTATTTAGACAAGAGTTCATCCTACTCCTTTCGATGCTCCTGTTGAACCACTAGTAAAAACAATATATGCAATATTGTCTGCCGTTAATACAATATCCGAAAGGCGATCCAGAATTATAGAACCGTTAATGTGGTTGATAGTCCATATTAAATCTATGTTGCATAAAACGATTTCACTAGAAAACTTTAACATTGTAGAATGATCAGCGAGCACAAGACGACATTGAGTTTGCTCTATTAGCGCATGTAATCGGTGTTGCGGATCTCGAGGTGATAATGGACAATAAACACCACCAGCCATCTCAATTGCCATAATACCAATCACCTAGTCAAAACCAAGTACACATTCACATCAGTAGTTATTTTCCGTAATTAACTTACCATTTCCAAACTTCGCTCTACACATTGACTTACGATTTCACCTGGAAACACGTGATATTCATTAAGAAGAGTTAAAGATAACATTTGAACATAATATAAGAGTTCACAATATGTTAATGATTGTTCATCTAGTTCAACTGCTAATTTTTGTGGATGTTTCATTACTTGATAAACAAATTTATGATGAATACAAATGAGAGGAGATGAAAATGATATTTGTGTATTATTCACTGATTGCATTAGATATTGTTCATTTGATAATGTTAATGATAATTCATAGATTGGTTTGCTCATTTGATTATCAACCATAGATACAGATAATTGATGTAAGATGGAATGAAATCGTTGTGAAATCGTCTCCACTGTGTCTCGATTGAACAAGTCAAGTGATGCATTGATTGTACAAGAGAGTTGATTCATATCGAAATCATGCTGAATACTAAGAATGAAGTCAAACTTGTTCATGATGTTATCTTCAGTAGTTTTGTTCGAAATGAGCATCACAGAAAGATAACTGTCGCCTATAATCACGTCTTTGCCGAGATCTTGTAGTGAATATTGCATGAACTCCGATAATGTATTAAGAGATGTAGATTTCGAAGCACGTGGATGTTGATCTAGGAGACGTCGAAGAGGAAAATAAGAGTATTTGCGACTGTTTGTTAGTATCTCCTGAACATGTTTAACAAGTTTATGTGGAAACCATTGTGGATCTAGTTGACAGCGCAAGGGAATAGCATTGACAAACATACCAGTCACTGATTTAAGTTCATCTCTGTATCGACTATCTACTTTCATTCCAATGCATAGATCCGTTTCTCCATTCGTCAGCTTAAACAGAAAGACAAAATACATAGACAACGCCAGATGTTCAAGTGAGATGTTTTGTGAAGATGCGTAGTGAAGGAAAGTGTCACGAAGATCATGATCTAAATCGAATGAAATAGATGTTGCAAAACCAGATCGATACTCATTCGTAAGTCGATATCGATCATATGGTAATGAGAGAGACTGATCTAGTTTGCAATCATGTAGAGCATCATGCCAGAACATGCTTGCACCAATCATAGGCATGTGTTGTTCAATGACAGCATCTAAAGAAGAGAGAAAGACATGACATGATTATGAAAAGAGAAGCATGGATATTTACAGTCGAGATAACGAAGACTGTTGGTGCTGCTATCATTGAGCAGCTGACTTGTGGTGTATGCTTGATGAAGATCATGGAGAAATATCTTCATAGATGAAATGTCGAACGAGGCATGATGGAAGTTAAAGATGATGATATCGTTATCGGAGATAAGATCATTGGTAGAAACTTGTTTATAACGAACAATATGACATCGGAAGACAAGACCCTGAGCAAGATCGAAAATATGTGGATTGTGTGTCTCATTGTGGATAATTTCATCCAGTTGTTCGTCTGTTTCATAAATACTTTCGACTACAGAAAATCGATTGTTTTTATGATTTTGTTGGTCAATAATTCGTTGTGTAAGAATGTTTTTTGTAGTATCAAAAATAAGTGCTGTTCTTAGAGATTGATGTTTGTCAACAACAAGATGGAGTGCATAACAAAGCTGCTGAACAGATAAGGTCTGATCAGTTGAAAGGCGATAGCAAAATACCATATTGTATGTTGCCAGTTGTGGTCCGTCCAAATACAAACGACGTTCTTCATCGAGCCATATTTGCTGTTGAGCATATGAAGCTGGTTCTATGATAGTCAGACATTATTCTTACAGTTAAATACTCGAATCTCTCGCAAATACCAATATGTTACTGTTGTAATGAAACAGTTCTCCAAAATTAAATTACTTTCACACAGAATTCTTTTATTAAAATGATGTGTCTCAAACTGACGACATTGTTTTATCAAACTTACTATTTTTTTATGTTCGAAGGGATTTAAACTGATTTCACAAGTTACTCATTATGTACGAGTTTGAGTTCATGCAGATATATAAAGAGGAATTAGAAGCGAGCTTTCTTAGAAGCACTTACTTATTTCGGAGAAATGTCGTAGCGATTCGATGACGTTGGATAAAGTTTCAACGTTCATTGGTAAAAGAGAAAGATTTCCAATTTTTTCAAGAAATGGGTCGAATCCAATGGTTTTCGTATTTTCAATGAAGATATGTAAAAGTAGATTCTGAAAATATCGACCAATGTTGGCCACCGTGACTTCATCATAACAATCAGCACTACATTCCAAAATACAATAAGTTGTTTGGCTGAGGTGATTGTGAATCATTTTTAAATTCATATCATGAGAAGCAATACCATTGCCATGTAACCAAGGTTGTTCAGTATATAAACTTAATATCGAATCGTTTGTCTTGGCTATCGGTTTCATTTCACTAGTTGAAGCAAAGTAAATTTCTTCATATTGAAAATGAAATGGAATCTTGCTTGAACATAGCTCCCTATTACTCCTGATCATCTGTTGATAAGGTAGTTGATAGTAACTAAGAATGTCTATGTCCAGTTGACAAACTTGCTGTACCAAGTTAATAAAGCTTTCATTTGCATTGATTTTGATACGATATGGTAATAAATTCACAAACGCACCAATCATGCATTTTGTATCAATGAATGATCGATTTTCCGTAGGACAGGTCACACACAAGTCACTAATCGTACCATCATTGAGTTCATAAATAAAGAGAAAGAAGCACGCTAATGCTGTATGAAACATAGACAAACCATACAACGATGCAAATTTCATCTGAGCATCGACAAGCATCGAATCCAGTATAAACGATGTGCTATGCCCTTCTCCAGAACGTTTTTTTGTGTCAAATGGGCGTGTAAATGGTGTCGGATAGTTTGCATCAAGGCTGTAATCATCCATCATTTTTGACCAAAACTGTTGGGCTCTTCGTATTTGAGAGTCTTCGGGGATATTAATGAATTGTTGACGCTCATATAGACTGAAATTGATATATTGTAACCTTTCCGTATCCGGTTGCATCTGATCGTATGCTTTTGTAAAAGTAATAAGGAACGGACTAGTAGAACTATAATCGAATGCTACACCATGAAATATAAAAATAACTAGATCTTGCGGATATAGTTTGTCCATGTCATCGTCGGATCCCACCTTCACTAGATGACAACGGATAACTAACCCCTGTTCCAATTCAGCAAAATGCTTGATCGATTCATTTCTAAGTAGATCAGCAATTTCATCGGAACTATGTATATCATTTGCTGTTATTTCAAAGGAATAAGCACCATGATTAACCATAGACTGCACCGCTTGGACTAACATTTTACGATTTTCATCAAAGTAAATTGCTGTTCGAAGTATTTCATGCTGTTCAAGAACAGCAACAACGGCCGAACGAATGCGCTCGATTGGCATTGAGCCATGCTTAATCACTAAAGGTAGAATAAAATTATGCATGGCAGGTGATGTTGTTGGGTCATGATGGATCTTTTCGTCGAGCCATATCCGTTCTTGTGCGAAAGATGCAGCACCTTGCGAACATCCAGAAGCAAGTATAGCTGATGATGCTGGTGAAGGCATCATTTCTTGCTCCTGAATCTTTTGTAATAGAGCCGTTTCCATCAATGTTGACATTTTGTATTTAAATTTTTTAAGTAGCAGAAGCTAAATAAACAAGTACTGTGAGAAATAGAACTATCTGAAAAGAATAAAGCAAATATAATTATTCTCATCGACACTCATATCTAATCAAACAAAGAAATTAGAACTGCATAATATTCTGTCACGAGATTACATAAAAAATAAAATTTATGTGAATGTTTTGTATTACCCATGCCTTGATGATCGTAATTACTTCATCAGATGAAAGCCTTCATAGTCATTATTGGCGATTTTTTCGCACTTTTCCATATAAATATCAAAGCTTCCTACATAAGGTATAAAGACTCGTGGTTTTCCAGGAATATCTGCTCCGTTGTAGATTGACTTCGATGTTCGAAAAAGAGTAGTTTCGACAATATCATTTACATGATTAACCCAAGTATTCTCTGCCTGTAGAGTAGGTTCTATCATATTGATATGATGCGTTCGTAGATATTCCAAACATTGTGTTATCCATTTAACATGCTGTTCGATATGTGAAACCATATTAGCTAAGTCAGATGGAGCATCGGAGCCGCTAATTGTAAATAAGTTTGGAAAGTCAGCGATCATCAGACCTAGATAAGTACGCCATCCTTTTTTCTATTTTTCTCGAAGTGTCTTGCCTGATTGACCGGGAATATCTATATTGAGCAATGCACCAGTGAAGCCATCAAATCCAAGTGCAAGAACGATATCATCTACTTCATAGGTCTTGTTCCCAACTCTAAATCCTGTTACCTGAATTTCATCGATACCTCTATACCGAAAATCAACAAGTGTGATATTATCGCGATTAAATGTTTGATAATAATCAGTGCCACTACAGGGACGTCTGATACCAAAAAGATGATTATATAGTAACAAGAGTCTGGCAGTACTATGATCGTTGACAGTTGCTCGTATCCTAGGCTTAGTAAAATTTGATACTGTTTCATTCGCTTGTTTGTTGATATAGAGATCATTGAAAGGTAGTGTAAATGCGTTTTCACCCTTCTTCCATGCTGATTCATATACTTCTTCCCATTCTTTCGGTATTACACTCAATGCAGGATAGTTTCGAGTGTCATCAAGTAAAAGGGCACCACTTGTTTGCATCATATCGCGTCGAAGTTGGGTATAATTTGACTTCCACCTTTGTTCTTCTTTCGGATCAAGTGAACAATTATTCGACGGAATACCATAGTTCGGTGTTTGCTGCAATACATAAACCATCTTGAGGGTGTGGATGAATGCGAGAGGGCGTAAAATAGGACACGGGCACCCTATAAATACTAGTTGCATCACTCGTGGACCAGGTATTGTAAGTTGCACTGGTAGAAAGTAGTGTTGTTAGTTTTTGTTGAACACCATCCATCTCAATATAACCATGAGCATGTAGAGTGAATTCACGTAATGAATATTGATTAAGAGTTTCTGGATTGACAAAAGAATCGACAATATCAATACTTGCCATACCTGATGAGCGCATACAATCTGAACCAGATGATGTCCATGGTCGACTATAGACGAACCATTCACGAATTGGTATTATAATTTGTGTGAATACTTCTGTTAACTCATGCTCATTAAGACTGAGAGCTTTAAGAAACTTGATCTGTTTTAAAACAAGTGAACATTGTTTATTGGCTGACGATAGAAATAACTGGTGACAAGCGGCTGTTACAAGTTCAAGATAAGCAGCAGCAGGAAAGAGAATTGTATCTTGAATTTTGTGATCTTTCAAGTAAGCATATTGTGGTAGATTAACATTGAGAAGATTCTTCCACGTAGCACTTGTTTGTCCTGTTAATTGATGAACACCAAGTAGAGGATGAATAGGAATACAATTAGTCAAACATGTAACAACTGAATCTTTTAATTCATACCAACATGAACTAAGATCAAATGCATATAATGGAAAATCATCAAATATTTGCTCATTATCTACTATCGGTAATACATCTCGAGTTTGAAAATATTGTTGCCAAACATGGGACGATGTCGTTAGCTGTGCGAGACTAGTAAGTAATGTTATTTGTTCATTTTCTTTTCGTTTTAATGTTGGAAGAATAAGTGGGTGGCTATTTGTCGATTGATAACACTCTCCAATAGATGTAGCCAAGACTGGATGTGGTGAAAGTTCAAGAAAAACAGTTGGAGCATCATGTTGTTGAATTGATGCCATAGCATCACGAAATCGAACACATTGTCTCACATTTGACCACCAATAATGAGCATCGACTGGTATCTGGTCACTTAATTTACCACCAGTTACACTCGAATAAAGATTAGCTTTAGCACATTTCGGATTGAATATTTGTTGAGAGTCTTTTAGAGGAAGTCCTTGAATATCTTTAAGCGACGATAACATCTCTTTTTCTATGTCGAATCGATCCATCTGATACGAATGAAATGCATTTTCAATACGAAGACGAGCTTTAAAAACATTGGGATAAAATGTTGAGAGTGTCTGTTGTAATTCATCAATAATATTTTCATCTCCACTTAATGTTACTGAACGAGGACTGTTAACAACAGCAATACAAACAAGATGTTCAATGCCCTTGAGAAGTTTATTTTGTACTTCTTCTTCACTCATGGATACAGCTAACATGCGACCACCTTGTCGTGTATTACGATTTTGAAGACGTGATTGATGGTAAACAATACGAACAGCTTCTTGCAAAGTGAGACGACCAGCAACAAAAGCAGCTGCCTGATCTCCAGCACTATGTGAGACGATTGTTGAAGGATAAATATTCCATGAAACGAGTAAAGCAGCCAGTCCAACTTGAATAGCAAATAAAGCTGGTTGAGCAACATTCGTATCATTAATACGAGATTCGTCTTCACTCTTTTTGTCAATTAATTCTTCCAGCAGACGCCATTCACCATTGTTGATCTTTGTCATTTTAGCATCGATCAATTGAATCCATCGAGTAAAAACCGGTTCACTTTCATACAATTGTCGACCCATAGCCCACCATTGAGGACCTTGTCCACTAAAAACAAAACATATTTTTTGTGATAATGCTATTGCTGGACGTAATTCAATAGCAAGACCCAAGATTGTTTGTTCGACAAGAAAAGCATCGAGTTGTTGTTGTAATTGTTGACGATTTGCAAATACGAAGATGGCTAAGTGAATATAGCTAATGGTTCGTCGAAGAAGAAGTTGTTGAGAAATACGTTGAAAGAAAGCATGATCATTATCTACATCAGAAGTTGGTCTTTTTTGTAACCATTGATTGAATTGTGCTACTTGATCTTTAAGAGATATGCGAGTTTTTGCTAAAATAGGAAAATAATAAGAATGACAATGTTTGATAATCGTCTACTTACTTGAGAAAAGAAAGATGAAGTATTGTTTGTTTTCTATTTGATGGTGTCGATTAACATGACCATTTCGATATCCATCAATGATGGAATTTTTTGCACTAGGTCGATATTCTTCGACAATGGCATGTACATTGTTACCACCCATGCCAAATGAATTTATACACATAGCTATAGGATCAGTGTCAGTGGAAGGAGGAAAAGGTATAGAATGTTGAACAACGTGAAGATTATATCGTTGTGCTTCGATGCGAGGATTAAGTGATGTGAAGTGCATATTTGGCGGAATAGCTCGATGGTGCATACACATAGCAACTTTGATTAACCCAGCAATACCAGCTGCACCTTCTGTATGTCCCAAATTACTCTTGACAGAACCAATCAATAATGGAGGTTCAAGAGATGATCGATTGAAAAATCGACCTAGACAATTTGCTTCAATAGGATCACCTACAGGTGTACCAGTACCATGTGCTTCAATGTAGAAAATGCGTTGAGGATCAAAGTTTGTTCGTTTGTAAATATCACTGAGTAGACGTGCCTGACCAGCCGCTGATGGAACGACAAAACTATTCTTATCTTCACTTCCATCATGATTACTAAGTACATCACGAAGAACACAATATATACGATCACCATCACGCTCAGCATCACTCAGTCGTTTCAATAGTATAAGACCAAGCCCATCACCTTTCGCATAACCATTTGCATCGACACTAAACGATCGACTTCGTCCATCAGGTGACACAGCGCCCATAATCGAACCATATAAAAGATTCTCTGGTGAATAGACAGCATTCACTCCAGCACATATAGCCATGTCTACTTCATTTGTGCGAAGACTTTGCACAGCTAGATGTACAGCCTCCAACGACGATGAACAGGCAACATCCAATGATACGTTAGGACCTTGTAAGTTAAAATGATATGATAGTCGAGCCGCAGCATTATACAGCAAACTATTAGGACCATGAAATCTTGATCGATGTTCAGGCTCCATACGAAATGATGTTATAGCATGATCTGTGGAAAATTGTCCAATATGCACAGATGTTCGTGAACCATCCATTTTCTCCATACTGTAACCAGCATCGTCAAGTAAATGAACAAATTTGAGCATGAGTAGTCGATGGCATGGTTCAATACTACCTGCCTCAGCATCGGACAAACCAAAGAAACTTGGTTCAAACATATCCCATTGATTATTCGATAGGAAATATCCTCGACGAATAAGTTTCTGATGAAGTTGTCCATCATTATCTTTGTTCAGCATATGAGCACAATAAGACTCGAGATCGAGTCGATCGCGTGGGATTGCACTACCCACATCTTGACTATCCTTCAATGTATACCATAAATCGTTGGCAGAATGAATATCACCTGCAAATTCACAGGCTATGCCTACAATAGCCACTGGTTCTAATCGATTGTTGGAAGTTGCCATTTGAATTTTCCAAATATTAATTAATGAGTTAATATGAGAAATCTAAAAACGTATAAATCTAAAATACACAAATATCATAGAAAATATTATATTTTAAATACAACATCGAGTTAAAAAGACGATTGTTTGAGTATCCGCACCATTCGATTAGTGATGATCTAGAAAAAAAAATCGAAGTTTTATATTATTACAATAGTGAAATTTTTGATTACCTTTTGAAATATTTCATATTGACCTCTTTATCGATGGCGTTTTTTGACAGTGATAAAATGACAGCCTGTAAAGCTCTCTGATAACATTTATTCCAAGGGCTAAAACACAATCTTCTAAATGATGAAGAGAATTTCCGATGAACGTTATATGCCAAAAGTTTTTATTAGTCTAAAAACTTATCAAGAACTTGTGGTATTGCGATTGATAACTTTTCATTAAAAACATATGCGTCTATTTTGATTCATCGTAAAATACTTTAAAGAATTTCAATAATTTGGAACGCTCAAATTTAGTAACATGTTAGTTGAAAAGAGCTTTAAAATGTCACAAAACATAAGAAGGATCTCGAGATTTACACTAGAATCTAAAATCAATCTCTTGTACAAAACTATCAGTTGCATTGATTAAAGTCCTGATAAATCGTTCAAACTCAGCCTCTGGTCAAAACTAGATTTCCTCATCCATACGAGTAAATCAGTATGTGAGCTAAATAACACTATTTAATTTCCTGATAGATATCACGTCGGAAGTTTAAATAGTACTATAATGGTTGTAAATCTGCACAGACAGTCTAATAAAACTCGTCAGTTTTGCATCTTCCACACTTCTCTAGCATCGATCTAATGCACAAAATCTAGACGCAAAAGATAGAGATGAGCAACTAATTTATTTTCTGACATAGGTCAAATCCAGTCATGAAATAAAACTAGCTTTTTCGTTCTAAAACAAGTCATATCGAGTCTCATGAGAATATTAATTTGAATCATTTAAATTCCTGAATCTTAGGAATGTATAAAACTATCAATGATATTCCAATTACAAAATTGAATTATGATACACATTAAAATAAATTCAACTGCTCTAACAAAGTAAGTCATGTATGGATCTTCGCCCTACTTTTGATTAGTTACTAATTATTTCTTTCTTACTTATTGATCATCTAGTACTAACTAAATAGATGCAAAAAAGAGTCGTATTAATTAAGATTTTTTCGATGAGATTGTAATTGATTCCTTTACGCAGATTTTCACCAGATTTTATCGCCTACTAGAGTCTTAGAAGATTTTATGAAATTTGGTGTCGAAATAATGGATCTGGACAAGTAAACTGAAAGATATATTACATAGTGTGGAAGAATTTCTACTAAAGATCTTTATGTAGATTCACAAAAGCTCTTCACTTAAAAAATGTGATAATGGGAAGACATGTATCACGATCTGAATATTTTCCAGGTAAAAGAGAATCCATCACACATTTAGTTTCAACGTCAACAGCAACGGCTAAATATTCACTTTTCATTAACTGATCTGTTAGGTTTTCCGATTATATATCTGATACTCCTACCTACGTTGGTACGTAAGCGAAAAGATAATCTTTCAAAAACCTGGGTCTGTATAGAATCCTACTCTCTCTTGTTAAATTCCTACCTGTATTGTATTATTCTTGATAAATGAATAAAACTACTTCGTCTGTACTTCTAAGTTTGTGTAGGGAAGTCTTATGTTGATGGTTAATCACTTGGTAAGTTATAATGAAAATGAAGGTTTTGAAGATCTAGTTACCTATATTCATTTATGTCAACCACAAAAGGGTTGTAATCAAAATACATATATATATATTAATAAACAAAAAAGAAAAAGGCCGAAGTAGTTAGCGGCAACATTGCGTCACCAGCTGACGTTAATATGATCTAAAATAAAAATTGTTTGTACATCAATATTAAACATTATTGAATCACTTACAATCGAGACGACGGAGTTCGTTGCTTTGATAACCAAAGAAGCATAAGAAATATGTAAACATGAATAGAAATAATAATATAATTACTAGAAATTTCTCCTTCCAAAT